AGCTAAATTTACAATTATAATGAGCAAAGTGACCCCAGAAATCCAGTGTTACACACAATATTCTAATACAGAAATTCAGCAACTCTGTAAGATTCCGAGGTTGCAAATCAGGTTCTTTAACCCTGAACTGGACTGCATAAGAACCATTACTAAGCATCAAGCTCCCAAGTACAGATCTCTCCATCAAAACTCCATTCCTTTCAGCCCCAGAAAGAAATAGTTGGAAACGTTTTCGTCAAAGTGTAATTTAATACCTTACCTGGAGAACAGCTGCATCATCACAAAGATCAGGGATACCCTTTAACAGTTTACTCCATAGTTTTATATCATTAAAAACAACAGTCATTCCTCCACCAGTAAGAGGATGTCTCATATTATATGCATCTCCCAAAAGAAGAACACCTATAAAGAGAGATGATTAAAATTATGACCTCCTGAAGCATCCCTTGAGGGAAAAGAAGAAAAAAGACTACTCTGTTTATTTACAAAAATTACTGCAATGAGCCAGGAGATAAAAAGAATGTGGAAATACAAGGGAAAAAACTATGACTAAAATTTGTTAAGCCAAAAATTCAAGAGTTGATTCAATCAACAAATATTAATCGGGCACCTAATATATGCCAGGTACTGGGGATAGAGTGAGAACAAGAGAATGGTCCTACCCTCACGAAGATCACATGCGAATCTAATGTTAAGTCAAACCAGTTGTAAGGCCTCTTTCAAAATCATACAGGGAAAAAGAATCTACAGGCATCAAGCATAAAAAGCAAGACTTCGACAAGGGAAAAAAAAAGATGTCTCAGCATTTCACAGCAATATTCACTGCCAGCATACTGTAGAGAAATGTCTACATAGTAAATAAGGGAAAGAAAACTGGCCCTAGGAAGATTATACCCAGGCACCTTGTAGTTCAAGCAGAAAGGCAATGGGGCTGATATTCTCAAAATTATGAGATGTTAATTTAGAAGAATAAACCTTGACTGAATCTTATCTGAAAATTAGTCCCATTGAAACAAAACTGCATAAGCAGAAAGCACTACAATTTGGCTCAAGGTGTACCTCCTGACTGAGCTGTCTGACTCTAAGATCCAATTCACCATTGACCTCTTAATGATCTGAGACTTAGTGACTTCTAAACAAAACATTTAATTTTATCGGAGAAAAACAGACAACCGTAACAAGTGTTAAGGTGGTAAAATTATAATTTTTCCTGTAATGTCATAATATACATTTATAATTATAGAATATATGTAATTACAACTAATACATATTAATTTATAAAACGGTAGCTTTTTTTTTTTTTTTTTTTGCATTAGAGTTTAATTATCAAGGTGGAAGCCTGGGCTTTGACCATGTTTTAATAGAGAGTAGAATGCTTTCCTAATTTAGCATTATTCGTTTAAAAACCTCACTAGCTTTTTTTCACATTCTACAGTGTAAAAGATCATCCAAGTGAGATCAGGGGTAGAGAGATACAAAGTACAGTTTCAGTAGAAGCCCTTGTCTGGATTTGTTACATTTTCCCTTGGTTCCAGTAGTTCTCTTACCCAATAGATGGTGCTTGTGCCAATTTGTCCTATCCTGTGAAGAATTTTTTATTGTGCTTTAAATGAAGGTTTACAGAGCAAACTAGCTTCTCATTAAATGATTAATATACATACTGCTTTGTGACACTGGTTGCCACCCCCATAACATGTCAACACTCTCCCCTTCTCGACCTTAGGTTCCCCATTACCAGCTTTCCTGTCCCCTCCTGC